CCGCGCCCGCGCCCGCAGGGGCCTTCCTGGTGTGCTGGACGCCCTTCTTCGTGGTGCACATCACGCGGGCGCTGTGTCCCGCCTGCTTCGTGCCCGCGCGGCTGGTCAGCGCCGTCACCTGGCTGGGCTACGTCAACAGCGCCCTCAACCCCGTCATCTACACGGTCTTCAACGCCGAGTTCCGCAGCGTCTTCCGCAAGGCCCTGCGCCCCTGCTGCTGACCCGGCCGGCCGGGGGCCGCCTGCCGCCTGCCGCCAGCCTCGAAGCGAGGGGACCCCAGCCAGGGGAGGCGGCGGCTTCAGCTCCTCGCACGCGTGTAATTAAGCAAATTCCTTTCTCAACGCCCGCTGTGAAGGCTGCTGGGGTGGGGGGGAGAGGAGGGGCTTCTGCCCAGGAGGGAGCCCAGGACCCCCACAGATGCCCCTCCAGCCGCTTAACCCCTGCCTTCCCTCTGAGGAACCCAGACAGCAGACCCCTCCATGCCGGCTGCTGGAGCAGGGCGAGTGGGAGAAGCTCTGCGGAGGTCTCATCAGCTCCGACCAGGGAGCGTCCAGAACCACAGCAGCCCTGGGCTCAGTGTCTCCTCCCCGGGAAGCAAGAGTGTGGACGATTGTCCTGCAGGGAGAGGAGACTCGCTTGCCTTGGAGGTGGGCGTGGGGGCAGTTTCCTGGGGCAACCCAGGCCACAATGGGAAGACAACCATGTGGGCCAGTCAGCAGCCAGGCCAGCTCCTGCCTGTCCAGGCTGTGCTGTCCCTGCAAAACCCAGCTGAGCACCCCACCACCACCATTTTGGAAGCTGGCTTGGGGTCAGAGAACAGCTTAGTGCCAGCCCCTGGCCAGAAAACACCCAAAGCCCCTTGGGGAAGGGCCCAGGCGGTAGGTGGGGCGGAAGGCAGCTCTCTAAGGGAGCTCAGGCCCACAGGGTACTTAGCCAACCTCTGGCCAGGTCTGCCTGAGTGGCCAGGCCCAGGGGTTGGGAGCAGGAAGGAGGTGCCCGGGTCCAAAGCCAGACAGAGTGACCCAAGCTGCCCCTGTGCTGGGGCTGCTCAGCTGCCCAAGCCCAGCACAGCCCCCTGACCTTGGGAGAGGAGGGGGCGTCTCTTGGGCCCCTCCATCCCAGGATAGCACCCTGGACAGCAGCGCCAGGTCACAGGAGAAATGCAGGGCCCTGCGCCCTCCCGTCCTGCTGGCAAGAGCTTTCCTGTGTCAGCTGCACAAGGTGCCAAGCCCTCTTCTGCACAGAGGAATGATAGGCTGTGAGGTCTGTGGCATCAGGCACCTCAGCATGGTTATTCCATGCAGAAAGAGGGCTGCCCCCAGCGCCACCAAGCTGCTGCTACCCCTCCCCTGTCTGGGTGCTCGTGCCCTCCTCCTCATGGCCTCAGCCACCACCTCCTACAGGAAGCCTCCCCTGACCACCTCCCGGGACCAGCCTGAGCCCTGTCACCCTCTCAAGGAGAGTCTTACCCGCAGGGAACCACCTGAGTCATAGTGGGTTCCTGTCTGTCTTCCCACTGGACTGGGACTGGACAAGGGACACAAGTCCCCAGGCCCACACAGGGTCTGACACCCTATGAGAGTTGGAGTAGGGGCTCCCTTGAGCTTTGCCCTGAGTGACTGGAGGCACCCCAAATGTGACGGGCCCTTGCTGACCACCGTGGAAAAGCTCCACAGACCCAGATGAGCAGCACAAGCCCTTGGAGATGGGACCCACACTGGGGGGCTCCGGAGACTGCCACAAACCCTTGGGGCCCATGAGTCCCGCCATCTGGAAATGACCCAAGCAAACCTGCAGTCCTCAGGCTTCATTTTAAAGAAGAGGAGAAAAGTAAGTTGTCCCCACAATTCCAAGAAACACCCCCACCCCATTACTGCAGAACTTGGTCCTGGGAGGCCGGGTGGTGTCCACTGCTCTTGGGTTGGGGTGGTCATGGTGACTCTCCTTACAGTGTGGGCGCTCTGGCCTCTCCCTGCAGGCTGTACTGCCATCAGCAGCGACCTTGGCATTTTCAGGGCTGGGCAATTCTCTTTGGGGTGCAGGTCCCTTCGCCGGCCCCCCTTTGGTCCTCACTTTCCTGCCACCTTTATGCTGGCAGACCCCAGGGTGGCAGGCCCACCCCTGCTGCACCCAGAGCAGTGCCCCAGGAACCTCACCGAGTCCTCTCCATGGCCCAGCTGTCTGGATAGGGCTGAGCACTGAGCAAGTCCCCACAGAAGCAGAGGCCTCCTCTGTCACCGCCATGTGCACCCTGTCTCAGAGGAAGGACGATGCATGGTGAGGGACAGCGTCTAGCAGGTACATGGTCTTCTCTGGCCTCTGTTTTTCTGTGAAGCGGCACTAGCAGCATCGAGCTCACCGGCCGGGCGGGAAGATGAAACAGGCGTTTGTGAAATGCCAGCAGGACGGTGTGGCCCTGGGAGGGCAGGGACTTTACAAGTCCTTGTTGAACTAAGTAAAAGAGAGCCAGCTCAAACCAGCTGAGGCACAGTGGGACTTGGGCAGAAATAAACCAGGTCCCCACAGAACCGGGGGCACCTCCTGGGCTCCCCAGCTCACGCCCTCTTCCCATCAGGGATTTTGGTCGCCCCTGAAGCTCGTCTGCCTTCTGGAGCAGGAGAGGGTGCAGGGCGAGGGGAATTTTCTCACACCCAGTGGTGTGAACTTGGCAGACACTCACACCTCACAGAAACAGTGCTTTAGGAGCGAGCGTCTGAATCACATAAAGTTTGTAAATTCGTCCTGACGCTTGGCGGGCGCTGCCAAGCTCACTCCAGCACCCACGGCGTGTCCCGCCTGTGTCCGACATCACTGAACCTGTGCCTTCTCCCCCTGGTGCAGAGGAGCCTCTGAACCTCCTGACAGCAGGAACACGCTGACCCTCCTCCGTCCTACTCCCGGGGGACAGCGGACAGCAGCCGGCAGGGCCCAGGCAATGAGAAAGGACTGAGTGGACAGAAACGAAGAGACCATGAGGACTCTGCCTTGTGGAAGCCCTGGGTACCGGCCACCCGAGCACAAGATGAGCTGCCTCTGGGGCCTCCCGGCCCACTCACTGGGGACAGTCTGGGCACAGGAAGGGCCTGTGAGCTCAGCAGAGAATGTCGGAAGGGGCTGCGGAGGCCTAGCCTCACCTCTGAGTGCCTCAAAGTTCTCCTGAGAACTGCTCCTTTTGGGGTTACAAATAGGCTCTCATCACATGCTGGCCAGAAATGGCAGCAGCAGACGCCCTGAGGCTCTCACGCCTGGGGCAGCTGCAGCTCCTGGCATGGCAGAAAGCCCTCCTGCCTGCACCACGAGGATAAAACAGAATGCCCCGCGAGGACTTGTCGAGCACCACTTGGGCGCTTTGGGATGTTGAAGCTGGAATTGCCATCCGGGTGCGGACAGAGAGACTATTTACAACTTTACTGACAGATACGACATGTATGTACACGCGTCAGACATAACACATATGTACATGTGTCACTGCACAGGGCACACCTGTGGGCAAGACTGGATGCTCGTGATCCAAGGGATAGAAAAGAGCACCGAGAGGGCAGGCGCCCCAGCTGGCGTCTCTCTGGCCGGCATCTCCCTGGCCGCTGCAGGGCGGCCCATCCTTACGAGGCCACTAGCCTTGCTCTGGGTTTCCAGGGGGGAGGAGTCCACGTCTAAGGGCACAGTTCAGGAGTTTGTTAGTAATGCTGCCGGCAAGTCTCTCCACCTTCCCGCAATGCCACTTCTCCTCAATGTCCCCCCACAAAGTGTCCAAGGGAGTCTTCGACCTGCAACAGCCTCAGGGCAGTGCAGAGGCCTGGCTCCCACTGTGGCCGGTGCAGCCCCTCACACAGTGACTTTCTCTATCACGCTGTCAGCAACGTGCACTTCCTCCGCCTGGACGGTGACAGCTGCTGACTGGCCACACATGTGCTGGTGGTCTTTCCAGTCCTGAAATGAAAGACACACCCATGTTAGCAGGAGGGCTGGCAGGGACGCTACCACCTCATTACACAGCAAGGAGCACCCACAGCAGGGCCCAGGTGGGATCCCTAAGGCAGTCCCTGGGGTCCTGCACCCCCCTAGGCTGCAGCCCTGTGTGAGCTGCAAGTGGTGGGTGCTGCAAGAGTGTTCCCGCCCCCCGGTGGTTTCTGCTCCTAATCCAGCTCACACAGCCTCCGGCCCCCTGACAGTCAGGGTTAAGGGATTAAATCAAAAGGCAGAGGACAAACCAGCATGAGCATAAAAACAGACTCCAGAATATGTTTGTACTACCTGACCCAGTTGTTTTGCTGTTAGGAATTTTTAAAAAGTAATAATCACACATGCAGAAAAACATTTGCATACAATTTTGGTGTCCTCAGTGTTATTGTGATTGCAAAGATGAGAAAGCAAAACTGGATGCAGCCCGTGTCTGTGCGGGGGCTTGGTGGCTGTGGGCAAGAAGGAGACTCCAGCCCTGTCCCCACCCTCCACACCCCAGTGTGAGGGCAGCTGCTGCCGCTGGCTTTACAGAGGAGAACACGGGGCCAGCACCACAGTGGGCCTGACCCCACGTGAGGCTGAGCCACCTCCTGGCACAAAACAGGGATCTGGAGGAGGCTGAATGGGGTAGGGATGCAGGACGATGTCACTGTTAGATGTAACCCTGTACACATGGGGTTTGGTAAAGGTGATATAACACATATGCGCACACACACACACAAAGGAACAGGAACAGATATGTCCAAACGGTAATGGCTTATTCCCTGGATGACAGAACTCCAGCTGATAATCGTCAAGCTGTCCTAGGTTTTCCTTCCTAAATCTTCTGTGACAAGCATGCCTTATTTTTCTAATAAAAATGAAAAATTGAAATAATAATTATATCAAAAGAATAAAATTTTAATCTGAAGACAGACTGTAACTCTACAGTTCTGAAGTGCGCATCAGCAAACTGCCGATGGGGTGAGGGTCAAGTGCAGATGCCGCCCTCCCATCACCTCCGCGGCCTCCACGCTGGGCTGTGCTTGGCCCATGGGTGACCAGTCGCAGCCTCTGCCCAGACTCTGGCAGGAGCTGCCCCCGCTCAGCTGCTGCTCTGGACGCCTCTCCCCCAGACACGAGTGCGCCCCTGCAAGGGGTTCTCACAGACAGAGGGAGAAGGCCAAGTCAGGACCAACTCAGCAAGGGAGACGCTTCCGTCAAGTTCTTTGAGCAAAAAGGCAAATGCCTGAGGTCGACTTCCACAGTCTTTCTTTGTTCGGGTGCCGGGCGGTCTGGGAGTCTGCACCCTCGACTTTGGTGTTACAAGGCGTGCTCTAAACAACTGAGCCAACTGGCCAGAGAGACGCTTCCGTCAAGTTCTTTGAGCAAAAAGGCAAATGCCTGAGGTCGACTTCCACAGTCTTTCTTTGTTCGGGTGCCGGGCGGTCTGGCAGTCTGCACCCTCGACTTTGGTGTTACAAGGCGTGCTCTAAACAACTGAGCCAACTGGCCAGCCCAACTTTTACAATCTTAAATTCTGAGTTTTATAAAAATTCTTACATCATCATTAACTGAAAAGCCAGAATTAAAAATTAGTCTTTTCGTTTTTGAAAGATGGAAGGAAACTAGCTAAATTCATAGAAACTAACAGTGAAAACACCAGAAACAACCATGACAAAACCCAGTATCACACATTTAAAAACAGTGACTAAGAACTCCAGGGGAGAAACAGTCCAAATCCGACTGAAAATGCCACAGGACTCATAGGTGAAAAGCATGACATCTGGGGCTTGCTTTAAAATAGCCTCAACCCAAAGTCACAGGAGAGTGAACCAGGGCGGGCGCTGAGCACGGCCAGCCCTGGGCGAGGGGCGGGGACGTTCTTAGACTATCTTAGTTCTGTGCACTGTCGAATTTTCTATAGCTAAAGGTTAGGAGAAAGACCTGGCACCACGGTGGGAAAGTAGATGCGGCCCAGGCAGTCCTGGGAGCAGATGTCCATCAGCTGACGAATGGATGAACACAACGGGGTCCATCACACAGAGGAACCTGACAGCCATGAAGCGGAATGAAGCTCTGACACATGCCGCAATGTGGAGGGACCTTGAACATGTGGCAAGTGAAAGCCACCAGCCACGAGAGACCATGTCCTGGAAGTTAGTGATATGTGAAAAGTCCAGAAAAGGCAAATCTAGGAGACAGCAAGCAGACACGTGGTGGCCAGAGGCTTGGGGTGGGGGATGGGAGTTACTGTAAAGGGGCACAGGAATTTTTGGGGGTGATGGAAAATTCTAAAACTGAATCGTGATGTCTGCACAACACTGTAAATTTACCAAAAATCATACCTCAACAAAGATGTAAAGTACACACACACCCTCCTCACATGGGCTTGGAAAGAAAATATGCTCTGTGCAAGTCAGAAGCAGAAACAGGTCAGAGCTGTGTGCGACCTGTGAGGTCAGCGGTGTCAACTGCCTTTCCCAGGGCTTTCAGTAGCACAGAGGATGGTTAGGGATGTCGGATGGGACCACAGACGTAGGTCAGCACTTACCGTTCACCCTGCGTGGCCTGGGCTGTCTTTTTAGACCTGTCTAGTGCTCGTTCTAGAGCAATATGAGAAACACAGTTTTGAACCTGACTTTATGTCAATTTAAACGGAACTAGAGTGTTCGTCTTCATCCACACAGCATGTCAGCAGAAAAACTTCACACGATCAACGTAAGAAACAGAGTCTTTGCCAACGAGATTGTACCTGACGGTTACCCTGCCTGACCCCTAAGTGAGGTGCGAGCCCATAGCTCACGTTCAGAAGAGACGCTCCTGGGCTGAAACGACTCTACCAAGACACAAGCCCACGGACCCTTCCTGTGAAGGTTCACGCTCCAGTACCCGCTTCCAGATCAACAGCCAGCCCACGGCAGCTCGCCTCCCTGGGGAGTACACGCTTTCAGCTCTTCGTCCAGCAGCCCTCGGCACATGTCGCAGCGTCCCAAGGGGAGAGAAACAACCCCGGATGCTCTTTTCTCAGGGCAAAAGCTTGTTAATGAAACTTCTGGGGAAAAACACATTTCTGCTTCTATTTCCTCAGTCTCGAGTACCCTGGGGAGGAGCTGGAGCTTCGGGGAACGTGGTCTTGCTTCTCCAGGATGCACTTGCGGGGACGGGACAGTGCCGGGGGCCCTGTAGCGTGAGGACATTTCTTTTCCTCGTTGTGTTGTCTCCTCCCCGTGTCCCTGTGAGACCCTCTCTGAGGCGTGTGCAGACTCTGGTGGGGCATGCACCCACACCCCACATAGACTGGGCCTTCGTGACCGCCCGCCCCATCTCCTTCAGACACGTAGACTTCTCGTAAGGACTTCTGTTAAGAATGGAGCAGTACCTCAGAATGCCACCAAGGCACAAGCCCCCTGCCCGGGGGAGGTCTGTCCCCAGCTACAGCTGGGCCCTGTAGAGGAAGCCGGGGCCTGTTCATGGCCAGACTTGCCTTCTTATTCATCCTCCCAAGGCAGTGTGGAGAGCTTCAAATATGCACACAGAAGAGACAATAACATGGCGGGACGTGAGTCCCACTGTCAGCACTGCCACAGCAGGCCGACCTCACTCCTGGCCACCGAGGAACAGACTGCCCCTGAGAAGTCGCCCTTCAGCTTTCCTGTCTAGTGGTTAGAACTTGCGTGGGGAGGAAGCTGAGGGAGGGGCCGAATCGGTCCGCGGCCACGTCTCAGCAGCCGTCCGCCGCTCTCAGACAGGCTGCCGGGGGATCCCTGCCTCCCGCCCTCTGTGACACCAGACCTCTCAAAGCAAAGCGGACGCTGGATGGAAAAAGGATAGGGTAAGTCGTTATCTTTTAGAACATGTGTCCTTTGGAAAAATACTCTGTAAATAACAGGAGACACTGCTATGGGTGTCTGTGGATAAGTCACAAGAACAAGGGCTGAAATCCCTCCTGCAAGCCCCAGTCCACAGAAGTCTGTCCAGTGTCTGCCACATGAAGACTTCCCTCAACACAGACACACACAGGACTGACAGACACGGCCTCTGCTCTCAGGACATGCTGTTCTTACAGCTCTAAAAGTAACTGGTGGGGAAAGATGTCTAGCATCCTGCAGAAAGTCACCTGATCCAGGATGATGAGGGACAGAAACAGCACGTCAAGAGCAATCCCTGGGGTGAATGGCCCCGGCAGCCCAGGACGGGCGCCGCACGGGGACACCGCCTCGGGATGCTCCCTAGGATGCTGGGGACTGACAGCTTCACAGGAAGATTTGTCCTTGTCAACTAAAAATAATATGACAACTAAGTGTCCAAAGTACCCTGCGTGAGGGTAGAAAAAGTTGTAGAAACCTCAAGCAGCATCTGCTAGTCTAGAAGACACTCTCTTTCATTTCCTCAGAACCAGTGGCTGAAAAATGGAAACAGAAACTGCAAACAGTCCTCTCCCAAGGCTCTGTGATGAGGAGTCCTGGCTGGGACACACTGACTGTGCAAGGTCAAAGGTCACCGTCCCCTCAGAGCACCCAGCTGCTGCCCATCGGGCCTCACACAGGAGCATGACCTGGCCACGGCATGCACACACACATATACACACACATGCACACACGTACACATGTGACTTCTTCAGTGTCCTAAAGGAGCCGGCACGGAGCCTGCGACGTGAGGAGGCCACCCCTGCCCCAACCCCCCGGAGGAACAGCACGAATGGGGGAGCGAGGAAGGTGGGGGGAAGGAGGCCTCAGCTTCTGCATAGCCCAGGGGCGGAGCACACCCGGCAGTGGGGAGGGGACGGCAGAGGGCACCTGGGGACCCACAGCTGAGGGACGCTACCTTGCGCTGGCAGAACGTGGAGCAGTAGTTGACCTTGTGGCAGCCTGTGCACTCGCTCATGGCCTCCCGGCCGCAGTTGATGCAGGACTGCTGCAAGAGGGACACAAGACACTGGTCAGTGGCACGGAAGGTGCCAGCTCTGAGAAACAGCCACCCTGAGACTCGAAGGGACAGAGAAATGCAGGTGCACATGGGATACGGCGGTCTCCCACTGGATACTAAAGCTTACCCCCCACATCCCCAGCAATGCCCAGAACATGTGTCCCCATCACATCCAGAACCAGCTCCTCCCCCTGGTCTCAGTGTGGTCTGTCCTACACTCCAGACTCCACAGAATTTCGTCTCAGCTGAGTCAGTTCAGAAAACCAAACTTAGGAGTGACATGATCCTCAGTATTCGGTAACACTGGCCTTCCAGACCTGGGGCACGCAGGCCGGTCAGAGCAGGCTCAGCCGTGCCTCCCGGAGCCACGGCGCAGTGATGGCCAGCGAGTCCGTAACTGCCCCCGCAGCCCCCATCCTACACCCGTACCCACCTTTCTGAGCTGGTTTATGTGGTCTATTGAAGTGATACGACACACCAGTCATTTTGTGTACTTCTCCCTTAAACTGCACTATTGATTTTTCTTTTTAAACAACTGAGGTACTGCACACAGATAAACTTGTCAGTGATTAGTTTTTGTGGCATGACCAATTAAGGTGTTTGACGATCGTGAGCTCCACTGTCCATAAACATCCCCGAGGTGGAGATGATCACCAGGCCCAGACAGGCCTGCAGCAGGCTGGGGGGCCTCAGAGCCCATGCCCCCATGCCGCCAAGAACATCCCCCTCGCGGACCACGGAGGGATGGGGGGTTCTACTAGCAGCACAGTGGGCAGAGCCTGCTGTGACCAGCACACAAAATGCATCAAACACTCCTGTTTATAATACTACTTAGTCCCAACTTCAACACTTTTTCTTGTATGTGCAAAACACAGCAAACTACCTCCAGGTCTCTGTTCTGAATTCCAGCTCGCTTCCTTGCAGAATGCCGTCTTTACTACGACTAACAAACATTTAAAAAAAAAAAAAAAGTACCACGCAGAGAATCTCCTCCAGGGACAGCAAAGACTTTGCAGCTCTCGCCCTGTCCGGAGTAGACAAGGTCGTGCAGCAAGCGGCTCCTCGCATGGCCCTGCCTGGTGGGACCCAGCTCAGCCAGACCCCAGTCCAGCCCAGCTGGACCTTCCGGATGGCCCCAGCCCCAGCCCCGCAGACTAGAGGCCGCAGTGGGAACGGCAGCTGAACATGCCGAGCCCACTCACCTCGTAAGCCAAGTCACCATCCTGGGGAGCGGCCCCACCCCTGACAGTCCCTGCAGACCACACTCCCCAGAAAGGACCTCCACTATCCGCGCTCCTGGCCCAGTTCTGGAATGCAGCAAGCATTCGATCTGCGCCCCTGAAGTGTACGGACAGCTGGCCACGAGGAAGGCATGGCAGGACGCAGGACCTCGTGGCTCGGGCCCTCCTGCTGCAGCAAGCACGCCACCACCGGGCTGTCCTCAGTGAGCCCTTCTTTCCACATTTACATCCACATTTACTCCTGTATTCACATATATATTATTTTGTTCATTGAAACATAATTGATTATAAATATTTGTGGAGTACAAAGCTGACTATCAGTACTTGTGTACAATATGTGATGGCAAATCTCAGTGTACTCTTTGAAAAATTATTTTTTAATTAAAGATAACCTTTTAAGGGCCGGCCCAGTGGCGCACTGGAGAGTGCGCCGCTTGGGAGTGCGGCGGTGCTCCCGCCGAGGGTTCGGATCCCATGTGGAGACTGGTTCCCGCTCACTGGCTGAGCGCAGTGCAGGCGCAACACCGAGGGTTGCGATCCCGTTGCCGGTCCCCGGTACAGGCGCGACACCGAGGGTTGTGATCCCATTACCAGTCAGTAAAAAAAAGACAAAAAAAAGGAAAAAAAACAAAAAAAGATAACCTTTTAAGCCGGCCCGGTGGCGCACTCGGTAGAGTGTGGCGCTTGGGAGCG